TCCAGACCCTAACCTGACCCGCTTCGGGTTCGGTTCAACCCAAATCCAAAATTTTCGGGTCGGGTCCAATATTGACAGGTCTACACATGGTAAGCATTAGAGAGCGAAGAAATGGGAATTATCGGGACATTGTTAGACTCATCAAAACTCTCTAAAGACTCACCAACAATCTCATTCACATTGAACTTCTGGGTATTAAAATGAATTTCAATGCTACCAAAAGAGTTAGCAGGCTGGTTATTTGGAGGAAGCCGGCTGTTCCCTATGTTAAATTGAATACTTATGGGTCGGATAGGAATTATTTAGCTGGCACTGGGAGCATCATTCAGGATCATGAAGGTAATAAGGTGCTTTCTGCTTTTGCTACCCCCTTGCAATTTTGCTCTGTTGTTACTGTTGAACTCTCTGGTCTTGCTTTGGGCATTGAAAAGTGCATTATTTTGTGGTTCTATAATGTTTGGATTGAGGTGGATGCTGATCTTTTGGTTCAAATTATTAAAAACAAGGTTCAGGGTAACCCTCAAAATTTTTACCTGATTAGGAGAATAAAAAAGTCTCTAGCTACTATTAATTATAATATTTCTCATAGCGGTTATGGCCAGAGCCAATACGCTCCTTATTGGCATCAAATCCTTGAGATATGAATCAATAGGATATGATCGATAGGGCACAAAGCCCTCTGTTAGCTAAGGTGGATTCAAATTTGTCCCCTTAGACAAACATTCAACCCCGGTCTACAAGGTCCCCTTAGACGAAGCAACCCATGGCTGCCGACAAGGATCCTTCTGTCAGGTTGGGTCGACTACCTCCTCTGACTAAGTAGACCAGGGACCACGATGGCCCGGGATGACGGAACCATGGGATCTTGATCGGGTCCATCATCCATTCCCCCACCATCCGCTTTAAGTGCTAGATGGTGCAATTTCTATTTTAAATACCAAAAATCAAAACCCAATTTCCAAATCCAATTTTTACCAATATTCTAAACCCATTGCTGCTACTATATGCCAGATAATACGTATTTTCTACATATCTGATTGACGACTAGCCTTAATCGAAAGTTCTCTCTCGTGATCGGGAGGGGTAATTAACTATAGGGGCTTGCGCCTATAGGAAACCAGAACTCAGATCATAAAGTCCTCGCAAAATGAGGGCGAAATCTCTGGGTAGTGTCTTATCTACAAACCCATCTGCCTTCCAAAATTTACCCCGGAACTTAGTTCGTTAAAACTCCCTCGTCGAATAAGAAAAGCGAGTGGAGGCCGGGGCCGAATTTTCGGAGCCCACACTAACTTTGGTTGTCAGTTAGAGAGTTATCAAGATCTTACTGTTTCTAATTTAAATCCTATTTTGAAAGGTATGATAACTTGGATAAAACTTCTCTCCCTTACATTAGACATGGTTAATATTCCTGGTTTCTGCTCCGGCTTTGTATTATTTTTTGTTTTAATTTGCTCTTGGGTTGCTGCTGTTAAGTGCTGGAAGTGCATTTTGATCATGGATGGCAATTTTCTAAACGATGTATGTGCTGGGTTGATCAATAACTATATCTTATATCACAGCTCCAGTTACTGCTTCATCTCTTTTATGATTTCTTATGGCTTCTACCATTACAGTATTGCTGAAATTAATTTAAATTTTGCTGATACTAATCAGATTCTGATTCATTTGATTACTAGTAGTGTTTGTCCGAGCAGTTTAATTGTGTCTGCTAGGCGCTGTCTTTCTAATACTTGGAACAGGATGCATTCTTTTTTGGTGACTATCCTGGATGTTGATGAGTGTCTGTCTCATTTGGAGGGAAATCTGGCTATTTTGGTTGTTCCTTGGATCATCTATCTTTTAATTTACTGTATTAACACCCATGAGTCAAGCACAAACCATTTTTATACCAAACTATTACTGAATTTTGGAAGTTCATTCTGGGGATTGAGATTCATTTGTGCTTGAGCTGTTTTTCAAATTTTTTCTAGCATTCTAAGACTATCTGTTTTTCCTATGGTATAGGGGTTATTTAAGATGGTTGTGTACTATCAGTATTTCCATTTTCTGGCAGTTGGTTCTTCCCGTATTGGATGGAAATTGTAGTCTGAAAGTTGTTTCCAATCTTGTTAATCTTAGTGATTCTAATATTTCTTTTTGGAGTAGTTCTTGCAGGTACATCAGTTCATGCTGTTCTGGGAGCTTAAATGATTGCAAGGTACTTCTTTTTCCTGTCTTTCTTTACTTTTTCTATTTCCTTTTGAATTTTTGCAGGAAGTTCGTGCTGAATGCTATATATTGGATCTTCCTTTTTTGGGTGCTGTTGTCTCACAGCCCGTTCGTTATTTATTATCCTTTTTGTAAGCGTAGGATAAGGACCGACCGGCTTCTAGGTTTTTTTTTATCTCTTTTTTGGATTGTAGCTCTTCAAAGCAGTAGTGAGCTGGTTGGTCCTTTTAAGGACTCTGTAACTGATTTTTGATATTAACACGTAGGCCCCTCCGTGGGTTTAAATAAAAAAAAAAATCTCATTCACATTAGAATTATTTGAGATATTAACCAGCAACCTCCTTCTGTGTTTCTCTCCACTATTATGAATATTTTGTTACATAACAATCAAATTTTGATCCAAATATTATCACCATTTTTTTCCAAAGCATTAATTTTAAGAATGGGAATATTCTAATAACATGAGTCTTATAATTATCAAGCAGTTTGTTATGGCTACAACCAAGGGAGGAACATTTGAAGGGAAAAGTGCTAATAATTTTTTAAGCCAAATGTTGACTATTTTGTTGGATAATAAAAAGGTTGAAATTGGCATTATTTTTTAAAAGATTATTTTAATATGACATATAAATAAAGTAAAAATATAAGAGAGTATCTTGCGACTCAACTCAATGCACTAAAGTTTGAGTTATTTGATGATATTCTTATGCACTTAGTTTTAATCTCTTTTAATACTCAATCGATTCATATAAGATAAGCTATAATACTAAAAAAAAATTCTCATTTTGTGATACTTGCTAAAGAAAGGGCCTTCTTTCCTTTCATGACAATATTTTCAAATGGAAAATTGAATAAACTATAAAAAAGGAAGATGTATGCTAAGAGATTTCATAGCCTAAAGTAAAACATAAATAGGATAATATATTCACCCATTTTCTCATGTTAAATAAGATAGTTCTAAATATGCTAAGTGGTAAAAAAAATTCTCAACTTTTTTTTGAAATGTTTTGCCTTAGATTCTTCTATATGGGAAAGGATAACAAAGTTCTTATTAAAACAATAGGCTTTTACAAATTTTGGTTAATAATCTATAAATCTAATTATTTATGCTTCATAAATTAATAAAATCTTGCTTAAAAATAAGTATGGTATAAGAGCAAATTAATTAATGAGAATTCATTTGTGATATATTTTTAAATAAAGAATTCAAACATTGTTTATAGATGAAATTATTGATTTCCTAACTTTCTTAGATTTTAAAATATGTATTTAATGCATTAAGAGAAAATGCAAATATCAAAGAAGTTAGTGATAACAAGAGTTTAAATTGGAATTAATTTATCCTAATATCTTTAGTCAGTTACCTCAACTTCTTGGAATTGTCATTAATATTATTTTATTATTTTTACAATTGATTATTTTCATTATAAGCATTTATATATACTTAAAAGAAAAGAAGTTTAAAGGCATTTAAGATCTTTAAAGTTGAATGTAAAAAATCAACTCGGTAAGAAGATCAAAACCATCAAATTCATTTGTTATGGGAAATACTATGCTAAATATGATGAATACATTAAAAGAAAATACATGGAAGACAAGATAATTTGTGCCCACCGGAGTTTATGCAAATTAGAATTAATGCATACTAATATTTTTTGTCCACTATCTTGACTTCTTTGAAAGATTAATAGTATTTTATTACTTTCATAGATAAATATTTTGTCACGAGTACAAATGTGTAATACATGAGAAGCCTAAATCAATAGATATATTTAAGATATTTAAAGTTGTAGTTAAAAATCAACTTAGTAAGAAGATCAAAATTATCCAATATAATCGCCTTGGTGAATACTATGATAATTTTTTTAGGATATTTAGTCTAATTAAGGCAGACTCACACACACATCGCATACGTAAGACTCAAATCCAAAATCTTTTAATTGATAGCCTAAGCTCCCAACCAACATATCGAAGTGAGTTGTTTACTATGATAAATATGACAGGCTAAATCATGCACATGATAAAATTTTATAAAATATCTAACATAATGTGGAATAATTTATCAATACACCATGCCATGAACTTCAGGCCAAAAAAAGACAGACCCTAAAAGATATGAAGATATATAATAATTTTTTATCAGAATCACTTTAGAAAAATCCCTTAAATACTATAGTTTATAAAAAAAAAAAAAAAAATTTGGAAGAACGGTGCCCTTATCTTATAATAACTGAAAATAATCAGATAATTATTTCTAAGATTTATTCCGTTAAACAAGTAGGCCAAGATATGTTAACCTAATTTTTATCCTTTATTTAGCTTGGGCAACTTTTCATTTCAGCCATATTTTTTCTCTTAATCATTCAAAAATTTTGTTTTAATAAATTATAAAATTTGAACGTAAGATTCAGTTTATTCTATTGTTGAAAAATGTTCATTGAACCCAATTTAGTTTAACCTGTGGCAATTTACTTCCTCTTGGCTATTTCTTTCTATTTTAATAAAATAAACCAATATAATATCATAAGAAAAGTGTAATTAGACTAATTAAATTATAAATTTACAAGTAACCTCTTAATCAATCATTAATTAGTGACCTCTTATGTTAATTAAATAATAATTTCAATTCAGATAAATTAAATTAAAGATAAACAATATTAACAATTTACTTATGTTAATAAAAGTTTATTTAATTAATATTAATTATTAGGATTAATTCCAATATAAAGATTGTATACTCTAATAAAAACTCTTGGATATGTTATAATTCAATAGTTCATCTTCCTCAAGAAAAAAACAAAGTAAATTTCCCTTCTCTGGATAGCCTGAACAAATTTAATTCAGTCTCTATAATCACACAATCTCTAATCTTTGTCGTCAGCGCAAACGTCACAGCTAGCGGATCTGTAATCTCCTTCTTTTGAGGGAAATTAGCGGAGCTGTTAGCAGCCTGTGACCATTTATAAGAGCAACACAGCTATCATATTTTTATCTGCCACCCTCAGTGCTGCGATTCCTTAAAGAAGCGATTTTTAATCCCTTAGACGCCTATCGCTGTTAATCAGCAACGTCGGTAATGGCTAACAACCACCATCATGGGCAAGGACATCATTTCCTATTGGTGACCATTGCCGCCCAAGGTCAGATCAATCCCGCCCGGCACCTCGCACGCCGCCTGGCCCGAATCGCTGGAGCCCGTGTCACCCTCGCCACTCCTCTCTCCTCCCACCGCCACCTATTTCCCGAATCCCTCGCCGCTGCCGGTGAGCCCGATAAGTCGGCAGAGGAGGCGCCTCTCAATCCCGACGGCTCTGGAATCGTTGCCTACGCGCCTTACTCCGACGGATTTGATGAAGGCGCCCACATGGACAACGTCGAAGCTGACGTTTTGATGGGAAGGCTCAAGTCAGTTGGCTCCCGGACCCTCGCGGCCCTGGTCAGAAACTTCGCTGAGCAGGGCTACCAAATCACCTGCGTATTGCACACCATCTTGCTCACTTGGGCTGCTGACGTCGCACGTGATCTCGGCATCCCTGCCATCCACTATTGGATCCAACCTGCCTCGGTCTTCGCCATCTACTACCGCTACTTTCAAGACCACCAAGGTTTCGCTTCCGCCATCGCAGAAGAAAAAGAAGCATCTTTCTCCATAGAACTACCCGGGCTGCCTACTCTACGGATGAAGGATTTACCCTCTATCATGTCCAAGCCCAACCCCTTCCTCTCTGCCCACGAGGAGATATTCAAAGACCTCGCTAAGTATGAGAAGCCTAAGGTTTTGGTGAACACGTTCTATGAACTAGAAGCATCAGTGATAGACGAGACGCCGGAGTTTGAACTGATCACAATTGGGCCAGTAGTGGACAAGAGCTTCGTGCCGGCAACGACAGGAAGCAAGGACCTATTCAAGGAGGACGCGGGTGGTTACATGGAGTGGTTGGACGCACAGGAGGAACGGTCGGTGGTGTACGTGGCTTTCGGCAGCTTGACGCGGCTAACGGTGCGGCAAGTGGAGGAACTAGATCGGGGGCTGAAAGAGAGCGGGCGGCCATACCTATGGGTGCTGAGAAAGGACAGCAGACCAGAAGGGGTTGGGGTGGAGAGGATTTGGGAGGAAGGGAGTGGGAAAGGGAAGGTAGTGGAGTGGTGCTCGCAGGTTAAGGTATTGGGTCACAAGGCGGTGGGGTGCTTTGTAACGCACGGTGGGTGGAACTCTACCTCTGAGGCGTTGGTGAGCGGCGTGCCGATGGTGATGCTGCCGCAGTGGATCGAGCAGGCGACAAATGCGAGGTTGGTGGAAGCGGCGTGGGGGATTGGGCTGAGGGTGGAAGCGGGGGAGGATAAGGTCGTGGAGGCGGGGGAGCTGAGCCGTGGTTTGGATGTGGTGATGGGGGAGGGTGAGAGGGCAAAGGAGATTAGGAGGAAGGCTGAGGAGTGGAAGGAGAAAGCCAGGGCGGCGCTAGCGGTGGGCGGGTCATCCTCCAAGAACCTCAAGGCGTTTGTGCATGGACTTTAAGCTTAAATTATATAGTATAATATGTCAATAATTTTAGCCGATTGAAATAAGAAATGTCATAATGGATGATATGTTCTAGATAGACAATAATTGGGATAAGCATATCCTAAGTTATTATAACTCTATTTATCTCATAATAATTGGACCTTTACATATTTTATTCATTATTTCATCATAAGGTGGCATTTTATGCATTGAAATAAAGTTGCTCTTTAATAAGTCATAATATTGTTCTTTATATTCTTAACGTTAAAAACTAAATCTCTCATTTCATTTTTAGAGTGTTTTTGAATCATTCTCAAGAAAATCCTAAAGGACTTTCCTATATGATAATGCTGAGGATGATAGTTCTCTAATGGGTGATTGATTGGTCTCAAGGCACAATCTAATGAATAAGTTGCATTTAAAGCATATTACAATTTTGTTAGGAACAGTTTTATATCACTGCTTTTTTCCTATTTTTAATAAATTTTTTACTAAAAGCAGCTTTACAAAATACTAAGAAAGCTTTCCTAAACGAAACCTAAGTAAATGATCATGTTGACTCCATGGTGTGTATGTTTCCTGTGTGCTTTATGTTACTATGTACCATTGTCTTGCCGCAACATTCATAATGTTGACTTATTTATGTTACCGGCATCTTATGATTTTTTATAATTAATGTTTTAATTATCTCTTATTAATTTATAATCCAGATGATAAGTTGGCAAATGATGAGGTGGAGGATAGCTAGCAGGTATGATTGGCCATTAATTATAGGAATAAAGCTAGGTCAATGGGAAGTTTAGTCTAATTTTGGCCTTATTTATAGGGAGACAATGTCAAGCTTATACCAAATAACTTTAAGTTTAAACAAATATTTTATTAGTGTACTTTAAAACTTATATAAGTTTTTTTATTTGTTTCGAAAACATTTATATGGGAATTGAATGATGGATGAAAGTGCTAACTCTTTGATGTTAAAGCTGAGTGATATCTTGATCTTATGTGTTTTTTGGGCACTAGCTCAAGCGAACCACTAGCTATACACCAAGTTTATTGTCGATACACTCCTTATGACAAGTGGTTTGAGTCATTTGTGTATTTGGAGAAATAAAAAAAAATAATGCCATGGTAAAGGTATCATGTCTTAGATGATTGTCTAGTTGGGAGAATGAAGTTAAAGTCTTAAGATGATAACACTCTAGGATGGAATGAATTCAAAAGTAATGTTATAAATAGTTATAAAATTCTACCTTTTTTTGTTGATGGTGCATCAAGGAGAAAATAATGGCAAGCATAGGAATAATTTATAGGCCAAAATCAATATAAACACACTAAAACTCCTTTCATGCAAACTCTATAATGACACTTAGATTTCCTAGAAACACTGAATGTGGCTATTAAGATATGACATTATCCATTATGATGCTTTCAATCATGATGATGAAACAACTCGTGCAAATCTAACTGGGATTTTATTCTCATCTTTGTATTCTTTGATGTACGAGTGGGAATAATTAATTTAAATCTATTCAAAGTGCATGATCTAGAGCTAGAGTTATTGTTCCCAAGAAACATTAATCAAATTAATAGAATTTGATTACTAATTATCTCAATTATAAAATGTTTTTAAAAGGAATGGATTATCCACCTTACATGCTAAGGATATCCTCGGAGGCATACTAACAATTGATGATCAACATTGATGTAGTGCCAATGAAGTATTAGTTTATAAGATTAATCAACTGTCTTGCTCTCACAAGAGGAATTTATTGATGCATTTTGACCAAGTACAACATGTCAAGCTCCAAAGGCATCATCATAAAAGAAATAACCTAGTTTGTTTAGCATGACTTGATAAATCTAAATTATGAGAAGTTTACAGAACTAACCCATTATGTTTTGATGATGATGAAGTTAAAGGAGCATCAATGTCATATCTCCTATAAATGTTTCTCTTAGATTCAATCATATAACAATTGGCTCTTTTTTTTTTTTTTTTGCATCAAGAACTATATAAACAATAGAAATTAGTTCAGCGTTGTCACAACGTAGTCTAATTTTAAAATTACACTATTGAGACCACATCAAGCAAGATGTGTCATAAAAATATATCATTAATTTATTGAACTTAAACCATCACTTCCAATATAATTACTTTATAACTATCCTCAAACAATAAATATCTATTTAGCAAAAAATTATATTTTATTTGTATTATACACAAATAAACATATAGTCATTAATACTCCATCAAAGATTACTATTTATAGAAAAAACTAAACACAACTATATTTATACAAATGTATTATTTACAATGGAAGAATTATTTATAACAATTAAGTTTAAAAATCTTTTTTTTCTTTTTTTGGAGAAAACTCATAAAGGGGCTTATGCATTGATAAAATGAAAAATTACAAATCCTTAAGGGGGGTCAAAAGAAATCTAGGCTCCAAAGAGTTATAGCAAAATAAAAGAAAAAAATCTAATAGCCAACGATCACAACTAATTACAAAAGGGAGAATAAACCCTAAGAAAAATTCTAAGGGTGGCTAGGAGCTAACCCCAAAATAAAGAGATCCAAACAAAAGAAATTAGCACGATTCTCCTAAAAAAAGAGAAGCATCAAATACAAGCAATGCCCAAAAATATATCACCACACCAAGATTCATGCTTCCACTGGAAATAAAAAATATAGAAGCACTCCTGCATCAGAAGACAACAAGAAGAGGGCCAAAGCAAACAATAACACAATAGAAGAAAAAAATAAATCCGTAATAACAATCGCAACTAACCATGAACATAATAGTTGTAATGCAAGAGAGAAGAGTAGCACAGCAAGACACAATAATAAGACAATTACTCAAGGAAAAAATACAAAAGACTGAAGGAAGATAAAGAAAGCATTAACAAGAAACAAATGAAAAATAACACAACAACCAACATTCAAACAACAGGAGATTAACCTGGAATAGACATGAACAATCAAAAATAGAACATAACCAGCCAACAAGAGCATACAAATACCTTAATCAAACAAAAGAAATGGAAAGTAACTGTCAACAAAACTACAAAAAACCAAGAAAAGAAAAAATAGAAGATAACAGAACAACTAATAAATATAGGGAAAACCATCTGCATCTAATAAAATTCTACCTTTCAGGAAATGAGGAGCATCAGCAATAATATAATAGATTGGACCGCAATGTAAAAAAACATCCTTAACAAGCCACATAGCACAAACATTACTTTGTTTCTTAATAATAGAAAACCTATAAACAAACTTACATAACAAGTTCTTAATTTTTTTTAAAAATGTAAAATAATCTAGAGTTATAATAAGTATTTTCCTTGAAAAAATAATTAAATCCACATTGTCCATTTCAATCGATAAGGAATGAGGATTCATTGAAGAGCTAGAGGTTAAACGCCTTAACAAAGTAGATAAGGTAGCACATAAAGTATCATGGGTAGGATGACAAGAACCAAAATCATAGATGAGTTTGCCATTATATTCACAAATAATGCCTCCAACCCACAACGAGAGTGAAAATAAGAAGTGTAAATATTAAGCTTTAACGCTTCCAGAATAGGCTTAATCCATTCCACATGCAACTCTTGGAAAAGAAATAACCACATCATTTTGACAAGTAATTTTAAAAAAAGATAACCAATCACTCTTACCTCTAAAATGTTTATAAATTAAACATTAGCTTTAAAGAGTTGCTGAACTTTATAAAATTAAATTTACAATAACCCTCTTATGACACATCTTGATGTTATTATGCTTGCAGTTGTTTCTTTCCTCCCAAAGCAACCAAAAAAATGCGTAAGGGAATAACACTTAAGATATTAGCTTTAGGCTCGTTATGGAACTAGTCATTCAGAAAGGAAAGCACATTGTTGCATTAAAACCCACTTTAATAAGCGGGCCATTTTCCAAAGCCATCCACACCATAGCAGTACATGGATGGTGCAGAAAAACATGGGATATGTTTTCACAACTAAGGAAATAATGGCATTTGGAAGTTAAATACACATCTTTTTTTTTTAGCCTAATTTCCATAGGAATATACCCTTTCAAAATTCTCCAAGTAAGCATAGACACTTTAAGGGGAATAATAGAATGCCAGATTTTACTAAAGACATTAATGGGATCTTTTTTACTTCTAAAATAATGCCAAGATTTGAGAAGACTATAGTCCCCATCAAAGGACAAATTAAAAATAATTTGGTCATTGCAGTCAACCTAAATGGGAATGTCAAAAATTAATTTCGCTAAACTTTGGGGGATAAAATCTAGGAGACAGTTAGTGGACCAAAAACCAACATCAAAGAACCAGAAAACTTTCAATGAGGAGATAGAATAAGTGTTGAGGAAATAGTTAATAGACCCTCTACCAGACCAGTCATCCTACCAAAAATGAGAAGACCCGTTACTAATTTCCCATTAAGTAGTCAATTTAGTAGTCCATTTGATGTCATAAAGCATTTTCCACCCCAAAGATTGTCCTTGCTTATAGAAGGCAAGAGTGGCGTGTAAATTATTACAATATTTTTTATGTATAAAGTTGCCCCACAGGGAGTCATTTTTCCTGAATTTCTACCAAAACTTAAAAGAAAAGCCTTTGATTAAATCATAAATAGACTTGCAACCCAAACCACCCTCTAAAAAAGAGCCAGTGTAAGTACCCCAATTAGACTAATGAATTCTTTTATAAGTAAGCATTAGAGCCCAAAAATAATTTATTAAAAACTTTCTCCAACTTGTCACAAACACTCAAGGTAGGATTAATAGTTTGAAATAAATACATATGCATAGAACATAAAACACTCTCAATAAGAAGAAGCCTAGCCCCCATGGAGAGCAGCTTGAATTCTCAAGAAGAAATTTTATCCAAAATGGAAGAAATAAGCTTGGATTAGGATTTTTAGGATTCAAAATAATTGATGTAGAAGTAAAACATTTAGGAATAGTAAAACCATTAAAATAGACCAAAACAGACTTGCATAAATCCTCCTTCAAAATAATCCAACATTTTTGAAATAAAGCAGTAGTAAAGCCATCATAACATGTAGCAGAGTCCTGATTCATA